ACGCGATTAACATAAATAAACGATTTTGCAACTTCCATATATGGAATTATCACGGAAATAGACGAAAATTAAAAGGCGGAGCCAATTTCACGAAAGCAGAATATAAAGAGAGGTAACTCTTGCTGGTACAAAAATATTTCAAATTATATAGAAACTGTTACATCAATCTTGACTTTGAACATCCTTTGATTTTGTTAAAACGTATTCTAGTACAGGATATTCAAGTAATGCAAAATTGGTTAAGATATATTGAAAAAATGTAACAACGTATATACTGATAATGAGCATAATAATATGCAAAAACTAAAGTTGGTGAAATAACATAAGGAAATGTTTCCCATATATAATGACACACACCACTATTCATTGATATTAATGATAGGGTTTTGTGAGCCACGGCAAATCTATTAAGCATATCTTTTTTTTTTTTACCTTCAGCAAATAATACTAGAATGCGATACATGGAAGGCACTTTTGGCAACACGAATAAAGAGAACTGAACAATAAGCCTGTGCCGTCTTTCTTTAAAGGACTATGTTGGGTTATAGAAAAACTCATATTTTTGACCAAGTGTATAACCACGAAACAATGCAAAGTTTACTATCGATAATTCCGTTGTATAACCAAAACTTGTGAATTTGTCCCATTTTAATGTTGAAATAAATATTCAGTGTATCCTGGCAACTCTGTTTACCTCCATGGGGAGGTATTTTGAGTCAAAGGATGTGATTTAGCCTTTTATTGTTTAATATATGTAAGCTGGCGTAGGTTAAGGTCTTTTTATGCATTGTACTGAATCAATAGCACCTCTAAAATATGTGTATACATGCTGTCAATAGCTGTTACCTAGATTTGCTGTCTAGATTTGCTGTCTATATGATCAAAAACAGAGAACTTCTTTTATTTACATGAAATACTACACAGAATATTTATTAAGTTTTGTAAGTGATGGCTTTCTAAGAGATAAAATAAACAAGGTATACATAAATTGATAATCAACATACATAATTGGACTCATTTAAATTTTACTTATTGAAAAACAAAATGGGAAAAATTGGAAAATATATGGTAAAAATAAAAAGTTATGTACAAAAGGGTACATACAACTTTGGTTATAATTTTACTATTGTTAAAGGTTTTGTTTTCTTGTCAAGTCATACGCTAGAATTAAGGTTACTAATATAATAGTACTACTAGGAAAGACAACAGCCAGAAGTTGGTCTGTATTAGTAAAATCTTTATCAGATGTTGACTTGAAAATTTGAAAGTGGTAAGGTAGCAGCTTAACTGTAAATGTTACTCATTCCTATGCAAATTGGAATACCATCAGTAAAATTTATTTGTCGTTGAATATAGTCTTTTCAATCGTTTTCACTTCCTTGAAAAATATTTAACCTCAGACAGTATGTAACCTGGTGTTTTTTGGGGTTTTTTTTAAGTTTCTTTTTCCAGGAAATGTGGTGTCTACAACGTTTTAAAACTTATATGCCTATATTCCTTAAAAGTCCGCTGATGTTGATTGTAGGCAATCATGCAAGTGAATTATGTTTAGTAACTAAACACCTAAATAGTATGATAAGCTTCTTGTCGCTGACGGTAAATACCGAAAATAGCGGAAAATACGTTTATTTACGATGATTTAGTGGGCGGGAAAATGGGCGGAGCTAATTTTATTTGCTATTGAAAAACGTGTAAAGCTGGATTATGCTGATCTGAATCATGATAGTTCGACAATGTAAAGCTAAGAATGTGACTTCTGTTTTGAGTATTCGAACACTTGGTATTGCTACTATCAGTTAATGTTTTGTCGTTTAACAAAATGTATTTTGTTGAAATGCATGTTTACAATGTTAAATCGGCAAACTCAATCCAAGTATGCAACATTGGAGTTTACATACAAGGAAATACAAGAAAAGCATTGATGCAAAGCATCAAAGGGCGTCCAAGCAAGAAATGCAGAAAGTGTCCCTTATTATGTTATCGCTATTAGCGAAGACCCCCTCTTAAGGTATCTGTTCACACTTAGTAAAAATATGACACTGGTTATATTACCATGTTGATCATGTTGAGCATGTTGTTTATTATACAATAATTGTAATATCTATTTTATTATAAAAAATACAGATTTTATGAATATTGTTTTCCTCTCTTTTTTGTGTTTTATGTGCTACTGAGTTTTTTACGTTTACTACTCTTTTTTTTATTAAAATTGTAAAATAAATTTTAAGAATTCAATTGTCATATTGACCGACGATTATAAGTCAAAACTTAACTGGAAAAAGTCAGTAAATTATGGTTAATCTTTCAATATATAATATTGTTTATTTTTAAACCATGTACATGTACATGTACATTTGTATTTTTCTTTATCATTTTTTAAAATATCAATCCATTGTAAAATTCATAAAATCTAATTTGTAACTTTGAAAAATTCCTCGGCATCTTTACTAAACACGAATAACAAATTAAATAAAATGTTTCAAAGTTGATAGTGTCATATTAATACCATAAAAATGTACCTTTTTGCTCAATTATTGTACATATTTATTGTTTTTTATCTCATATAGAGTTACAAACTAAGTGACAAACATTTATTTTGGAAAAAAGCTTATTTATCTGTAAAAAAATGGTTCTTTTCTGAAACGATATCAAACAGCTACTCCAAAACCGGGAGAGACCGGACAATAAACGTGTGATTCTATTCGCCGGTCACTAGTAAATACCGGTCAAAATAGACCGGGAGAGACCGGGAATTAACGATAGGAGTACATCCTTCTATACATAGATTTTCGGAATGTTTAGGTAGACAGTAGACATTTAGGTCATCAACTTATCATTCTATGTACTACAAAATGATAAATAAAAAAAAAACTGAAGAGACGGAAAAGGTTATTTCATTTGAAAATGTTTGCATTGCGAAATTCTCCAGTTCGCTATTCATTGTACATATCGCGACATTTCATTTTTAATTAATAATAATCAAGCACCCTCATACCGATCAGAATGATCGGCTTTTATTATTACCGACTAAAAGGCTCGAGAAGTTGCTGTCGCCCTTTCACAAAATCTGATTTCATTCATCATAAAGGGGCGCCAAGAATTGTAATTTTTCCATTAACAAACTGTTCAACTCAGATCAACAAGACTGGATTTTTGACAACGAATAGCCTCCATACAGTATATACAAAATACTAGTCAAGCTGTGCAATTTTTAATAAAAATCCTTTTTTAATAAAATACATAATTATAACTTTTACTAGTAAGGTTATGTTTAACTTTTGATTTAAGTCTTCAATTATTCATTTTCATTGCCAGATAGATAAGAAGGCATTATAAATAGTATAGTTCAGAGTTGATATGTTCCATTGATTGTTTATTACAGTTTGTATCCTTTCATAAATAAAAGATATAAACAACAAAAGATTTTGATGTTATTATCATGACCTAATAATTGCAGCATTTTATGCACAGAAGTGCTTTTACAAAATGAAGGTCAGATACATATAAGTTAATATTATTTAACAATAAAATTCAAGTTGTCAGCTGATTGTGGCCTTTGCAGTCTCTAAATTTGGTAGTGTGGTTGGTTATTATCTGGTATTGACTTTGAAACCAGTAGTCAAAAGTCACGGTGACAAAAAAGCTTCTAGCATCTATAATAACATGACTAATTTGTTGACATTATAGGAGCATACATGTTTCAGCTAAGTTTAGACAACTGTCATAGATTATACTAGTAACCACCAAATATATTTCAATTTAGACATTTATATTGTTATAAAGTACAAATATCATTAATTTTGAAAATATTCTAAAGCTATGAGACATTTTGCACTGAATTTACGCCGATTATCTTTTTTAAAGATATTTCTTGTTTTAAATACAATTGAGCAGCAGGTTAAGGTTTAACACTATCATCTAGACTTTTCATGTCTTAAAATTTCAAGTTATAAGATAAAGGAAGGGTGGCCTAGTGGTAGAGGTGTCCCCTCTAAACTCAATGACCGTGGGTTCGAGTCATGCTAAATACACGGCCATGTTTTCTCAGTATGATACCAGTTTTGGTTAGTTGAAGGTAGCGATATCGAGAGCGGTTTAAAAGCCTTTACAATCGATTTAAAAAATTATAATTGTTAACCAAGTAAATAATTGTTAATCTTTAATTGTTTACGCTTTAAATAGTCTAGAAGTTAAAATAAAGTCTTACAATGAACTGCGATGTTCCCCAGAAACTGTCATTGAATGCAACAAATATTATCTCATTGATTTTTGTTTCCACTCCTAACTTAAATATGTGTATAGTCGGGCCTCTGATAGATAAACTACCAAGATGTTGCAAGCAAGAATTACTAAGTTATGTTCTTTGCTAGTCAGACGTCATTTTAATACTTCAACACGATAGTGTCTTGTTATTAAGGTATGAGCCCCATAATGGATACTATAAGGAACTATAAAATTGACAACATAGGTCAGTTATATACCTTAAAAGACACAAGAATGCAAAATTTAAACAAAGTTTACCGTATGGTTTACGAGTTATGGAGATTTTTCATAAGTAAAACTTGACTTTTAGAAGGGCTCTTTTTCAGAAATGAGAAACTCTAAATATTCTGTTATATAATCATTATTAAAAAATGTTTTCCTATAGAAACAAAAAATAGCGTTCAGCTAACAAATGACCCAGCAAAATTATTGTTTCTACTCAAAATGTTTGAAATATGTATATAAATGTTACCCTACCCCACCCATTTTAAGTAGTCGTTTGATCATTTTTCTACTTGAAGGGCCTTATTCAAAATATCCCTAAAATTTTCCTCAAATTAGGGGCTGTTTTCAAAGTTTGCATAAATTTTCTTATTAGTATATTGGTTGTGTTTGTCAAATACCGTCTCGTTTTTATTTTATTAGACTTTGAAAATATCAGGTACCATATTTGATAATAAACTTGGCACAATTTAGCCAATAAATACCAATAATTTCATAATTAAAAATGAAACACTTTTTTTCTTCTCAAGAGTGATCTGAGAGACACAAATAATGTTCAAAGAAAAAAAAAGAAAGAAAAAAAAGTTGCCTCTTCTGGGGCTTGAACCCGCGCCCCTCAGTTACAATTCAGTTGACAGTAGTTCCAGCAAACTCCTCGCAGCGGTTACTTCCCCTGATCTGTACAGTAACCACTGCCACCACAAGTAAATTCGGTCGAATATAGCCGGATATATTTTTTTTCACTTTTAATTTTAAAATAGAATACTTTTTATATCATTTTTTTCTTTCGTTAAAATAGTTATGCTTAATGTACAAGAAAGTAAAAAATTATACGTATATAAAATTTTATTTTGTAACATAACGAAAGATATTTTCACTGTGACACCGTATGCATAGTAACAACCAGTAAAAAACAATGGCAGAATATAAACAGTTATTGAACGATTGCACAAAAAATTTGATCCGGAGGCACTTGTTTTAAAGTGATACAAATTTGTGTGGTCTTGAACTTATTTGTCTGGTAAGGATGTAATTATAAATCTGCCAGTTTGATATGGGATCCTTGCGTTCTGAAACTGGCCGGCCATGTTTTTGTCACATGATACAACTATCATCACGTGATTTCAGTGGTGGCAGTGGTTAAAGTAGCAAAGCGTGACGTAACCGCTGTGAGGAGTTTGTAGTTCTAGCCTATTTGAATACTCTTCAAAGTGGAGGTAATGCATTAGGTGGATCATACCTTAAAGCGTTTTACTGAAGTAATAATGGGCTACAAATTGGCAATCTTCATCTTTGGGCTTTGCCTGATAGCAAATTTGGATGTGTCAGAAGGTGAGTGGTATTATTTATTTATTTAATTTTAGTTTGTTACATGCGGAATTATTTAGGAAATACAACACAAATTTTGTGACAGTGAAAATTTGTCTTTGTAATATTGTAAATGTCGCGCTGCAAAAATTTTACTTTTTTGAGACTTTTTAATTCTTGATTCTCAATAAGCAATTCTTTTAGTATTTTTCATATCCGATCAACACAATTTTTTTAAATCGTTAAAAGTACCACAAAAATTTTGCCTGGACATGATACATAAATATGGTGCATACATTTTATATTATATATGGAAAAAAACTAGGCATTTTCCGTGTAGCATGCTAAACTAAACGATTTTTTTCTATGAATACCTAGAGGATCTAAAAATACAGAAATTATTTTCATCGAGTGGTATGAAAATAGATATTTTATGAGTGGCAGTAGCCACGCGGGAAATATGATAATTTTCATGACACAATGAATTTTGTATATTAGCTGAATTTAGCAGAAAGTAGTCCGGCAAGACACCAAATACGGAAATATGTTTCACTGCAGTGAAAAATAATTGTTTACAGTGAAAATACGGAAAATGAAAAAACGCATTTTATTTCATCAATATTTCTCAATATTCATGTATAAGTATATAATAAAGGTATATGAATAATATAATTATATACCTGATGAATATAAGCAAAATATTATCGATTCAAACAAATCTGAACACATGTTACAAATTGGAAAACGTGAAAAGTCAATTTCTGTTCGGTTACAATGCTTCTTTGATGATCAAAAAGTTACTATTAAACAATTTCTAACATACTTTTAATATTTCTGTACAATCATCATAATCATATCTTATTATGCTATTTGTTACCACGTGTGCGTAAACCGATGTATTAAAGGAACTCCACAGAGGTTTAAAGGCGTAAAAACATAAAATTAGAAAGTCAGATTGAAAATCGATTTTATATGCGATTATTAGCCGGGTTTGAGGGAAAAGGGCTGCAGCGCTTTAAATTTTTTGGGCTTTTTTTTCATTAAAAATTATTATTCTGGAAAAACAAGATAAGGAAATGAATTAAAAATTTACCCACAAGTTATTGGATAAAACCTTAATCAATTGGTACACAAATCTCTGAAAACTTTTTCAGACCTGTCATGTCAAAAACCCTCAGTGATGTCCTTTTAAGTGTGACAGCAATTCGTGTGTCCGTTGTTTTGAATGTCCATAGTTGCGTTAATTCGAATATTTAGCGTTGATTTTTTTTTTCTTTCAAATTAGGTTCAAAACGAAAAATTTCTTGTAAATGCATTGCAAGCCAGCATTGTGAGGGTGAACATTTATTCATATCCGAAGAAAATGCAGATTGCCCGGATGGAAAAGTTTACTGTTGTAAAGGACAACAAACACGAAAAAAAGTTGACGATACTTGCCGTATATTCTTTTTTAATTTGGAAAATAAAGTAGACCACTGCTAGTACATAAGGTATTCATATAGGCTAGAATGAAACTGAGGGGCACGAGTTCAAACCCCGGAAGGGGTAACTTTTTTTTTCTTTTAACATTATTTATGTATCTCTCAGATCCCTTATGGAAGAAAAGGGTGTTTCATTTTAATTATATAATTATTGCAGGTATTTATATTCAAGTTAACAATGTACAAACGCTTATTTTATTATTGTTTTATAAGAATAATTTACTTCTATTACCAGATGTCAAATGTGAAGTTGTTTTTTTTTATTCCAGACACAGACTGGATGAGACAATAGCAAAATTTAACACTAGCTGACAAACATTATCAATATTTTTATCTCTCTAACACGGTAATGATATCTTATGCAAACTTCTGTTCATTTATTTCAGGGACACGATTTCCAGAATGACACACTATAGAAAGAGGAGACAAACACCGAGTGTACATTAATCTGTGAAAAGAAAGTATCTAGGAAATGTTTCATAACGTTTTCATGTTGATTCAATTAAGTATTAAAGTTTAGCCCGCCGGCCCGCCAGCCCGCTCACTTCTCACTGCTAGCCCGCAACACTGTTAGCCCGCCCACTTCACACTGCTAGAATATGTATCATAACGTTTTCATGTTGAATCAGTTAAGTTTTAGAGTTTAACCCGCTGGCCGCGTCGCGAGCCCGCCCAGTTCACACGGCTAAGACCGCTAGACTTGCTAGCCCGCACAGTTTCACAACTGTTATCCCGCTAGACTGCTAGCCCGCCCAGTTCACACTGTTAACCCGCTAGACTGCTAGCCCGCCCAGTTCACACTGTTAACCCGCTAGACTGGCTAGCCCGCCCAGTTCCACACTGTAGCCCGCTAGACTGCTAGCCCGTTACCCCGTCGTACTTCAACGGCCCGTAAAGAAGTATAAAGAGTTGAAAACTTAAGATAAGTTTCTGGAAACTCGCTTGATTTTTGGAAAAAAAATTAAATGATTTAAGAAATAGTTTTTAGTTTCTTAATTTCTTTATAAATAAGTATCCAATCAAAAGGTTAAGAAATCCAAACAAATATTGATGTACATGTACGATTTCTTGAAATCAGTACGGATAATGTAAGGTAAGATAAGATAAATGGTTGGATCAAATATACATGTACTTTTTCTGATAATTGTGTCACTATTGATATACTGGCTTTATATTTCATTTTTAAAGCTACATTAATAAAATACGTAAATAACTTTACTGTCGCGTTTACAAACAAGCATTCTATTAGTTTCGTTAACATATTTTAACAGTTTATTTGTTGT